AGAAGCTGGGGCTGTGCTGTCTCTGGAAGTGTTCAAGGTCAGGTAGGATGGGACTTGGAGCAACTAGGTCTGGTGGAAGGTGTCCCTGCCTGGGGCAGGGGGTTGGACTGCAGGGTCTTTGAAGATCCCTTCCAACCCAAAGCATCCTGTGATTATGCAACAGTCCTGTACAACACGGGCCAAAGCTAGAAGAACTTGCGATCTTGGGAAAACAAATTGAAACAAGCAGTGATGAAATAAAGAAGATGTGGAAGAGAGCAGTAAGTGAGCACAGAGGAAGTGGCAAAAGGGACACAAAATTTGGGCTGGGGACAGTCAATGGGATTTTTGAAGAACAGGTCACAGAAATAAGAGCATCACAGGTGGGAACCAGAGATACATACAAAAGATTATTAACATCAGCAAGTGGCTTTGCATTGTCAATGTTATTTCTGAACACTTCAAAGGAGCCATTGTCTCAAATCTGTGGTGAAGCGGCTGCAATGCTCTTGAGCGCAAGAGGTAGCAAGAACTTGACAGAAATGTCAGCAAATATTTGCCTATACTGTCACTGCATGCTGTAACCAGTTTGGGTCTTGTCTTCACAAAGAAATAAGTCAGGAAATAAGCTTAGGCATAATAAGGTGTTCCCATTAGTTTCTTCAATAGGTGTTCTTGTTCTGTAATAAGAAAACCACAGAAACTTAACAAATTGTCAAGAATAGCACTTCATGATTCACCACCTTCACAAGAGGTTCAAGAGCACTGCTCCCGGTGTTTCTTTTTACAGTCGACTCAGTCAGAGACTGTTATAATCCCAGGCTAAGGAAAATCTCCCAAGCACTTAATAGAAGCATTTAAGCTATACTAAGAATATAAAGTTAACACATAAACACAAGCTTTGCACCTGTAGCAGCAAGACCACCAGCTACAGTGCTTTGAGCCAGCCAGATGGGTATTCACAGACCCCAGTCACACAGTCAGGCAAAAAAATGAGAATTTTAAAGTGACAGCTTTAATACAGCTGATAAGGATCTCAACAGAGAATTTTTAGTAGGGTTGTATACATTTGACAAAGGCTTAAGAGAAGAATACAATACAAACCAAAAATTAATACGGAATATTTAGTTGCTCTGTGCTGGCAGACAGAAAGCACGCCTGCTCCTCTGCAATTGCCTTATAGCTGCCGGCCTGCGAGCTCAGCCCTGGTTTGCCCATTTCTATGAGCTGGCTGATAACCAGAAGTTACCACCACCGAGGGTTAGAGCATGGGTGCACAAACGCACAGGAACTCTGCCACAAGTTTAAGCATTATAATAAAAAATATTTATGGACCCTTATTGCAGGATACAATACGCATTTTTTACACGTTGCGATACGTTTGTGCATGGTTTGCAGCTCCGAACGCTTTACAACGGAGCTAAATGTCTAATGCCTTGTGACACCATTTCATGTTACAAAACAGAAAGATTTGGGGACGGTTTGGGTGAATATGAATGCAGCCATGCCCAAGGAAAGAGCCAACTCTGAAGTAGACTTGTGTGTGCACGCTTGTGCATCTAACACAACAGCAGCTTAGGGGGCCAAATATCAGATAGCAAAAAAAAACCACAGAATTTTTTTTTTTCCTGATGAAAACAATGCTAATAAGAAAAGTATTTTTATTTGGGAAAAAAAAAAAATAAAGAAGAATAGGGCCATTACCTCATATGATTCCCCTGAGCTTTCTGTACTTAGCCCAACTTGCCCTAATTCCATCTCTGCAGGTGTGGGAGACCTAGCAAAATCCTTACTGAAAACATCCACACAGGTGTGCAAATACACCTCTTTGTTTAACTACCTGAGGACAGAAATCCCATGGAGGGGTGGTGCAGGCTGCATCAGCTCCCAGGGGCCGGTGGCTGCACGTTGCTGCGGGCCAGTGTCCATCCGTGCTTTCCACCACCGCCCTCTGCCACCACTGTGTGCCTCTCTGCATCCCACCGAGAAGGATCTTACCAAAGTTTACGAAGTTCTGGTGGGGATGGGCCCCACTTCCCCATGGCAAGAGCCAGCCCAGGGTAGATCAAGAAGGGGAAAAACGCAGAATGCGCTGGCAAACGTGTCACGGCGCCCGATCTCTGTTACTGTTCCTCAGTTTCCCTATGCCCTCACATATTTGATTGAACACCCCCAAAAGCCCACTCTGGAGGATGGATGTTGGGCTCAGAAATGCAGAGCAGGAAGGCCTTTTCCCAGAGGTCTTGTTGCAGTTATTTTCATTTTGTATCACCATAGCAAAGCCCACCCTTGTGCTGGGAAAATCCTCTAAAACATCTCCGACAATGAAGGGTTACGTGCCCAAGGCATCGCTGCGACAGGGCACCAGGAGCCTTAGCTGCGTTATGCTAGTTAAATTGGCTATCACTTTTAGGGAAGCTTTCCTGCAAAAATGGCAGAGGGAAGTTCTTCAGCTGATGAACAACAGTTCACATTCAGGAATAACCTTAATTCCAGGCTCCAGTTATGAAATTTATATAGCAGCTTCTCCTCACCATGCTTCCTGCCCTTGGCACGGTCTGTTTCCCAAGGCAGCCACTGACAAAGGAAGAAGCAACAGCACAGCTAAGGTTATTATAATATGACCTTATTAATTATAATTATACCCCGTCGCTATTCTTTTGAGGACTTATCAGAAAGAAGCTTCATTCTTTCCTTGCACATCTCCATTATACACATCGCATAATACATTCCTGCCGTTAGTAAATCATACTTCTCAAGCATTAACATTGAAATCAAAGCCTTTGGAGGCAACGAAGACACGATTTTCCTACACAATCACATGACCCCTCAAGAGGACAATACTTGCTTTGTTGAAAATAATTTATGAATGCCTTTATGGAATGGCAATGAAAGCCACTGTGCCCTGGCAATGCCCACGCTCTTTCTAAAAGCTTCTCGTAAATGACACCCTGTCCACCTAGCCCAGCCCTCGATCCCGGGCAGCAGCAATAGCGAGAGCTCTTTGTGGGGACAAGGAAGCCCAGACACCCCGGGGGACCATTCCCCTGGGATTTCCCTGGGATCCAAGAGGGCTGCACTGGGAAAATTGCAAAGTCCATCTCTCTCTGGGATCCATCTACAGATCCACTCTCCATTTGACAGGCTGGGGGAGCTGGGGTTGTTTAGCCTGGAGAAGAGGAGGCTGCGGGCAGAGCTGAGTGCGGCCGGTCAGGGCTTCAAGGGGGCCCAGAGGAAAGGGGGGGACAAGCTTTTTAGTAGGGCCAGCTGGGACAGGACAAGGGGAGATGGCTTTAAACTGAAGCAGGGCAGGTTTAGACTGGATGGGGGTGGAGGCCCCATCCCTGGGACCATTCCAGGCCAGGTTGGCCGGGGCTGTGAGCAACCTGATGTGGTTCAAGGTGTCCCTGCTCCCTGCAGGGGGGTTGGGCTGGGGGACCTCTGGGGGTCCCTTCCAACCCAAACCAGTCTATGATTCTGTGGTTAACAGAGCCTTCTTTCCAACGATGCTTTCCATGCCGCGTACCAGAGCCTGTCCCATTTTTTCAAGGTTTCTCCGAAATTCCTAATAAGTCAGTTCCCCCACAGAGCAAATTTTGCAAATTTACTAGTCCCCTGAAGCTGCTCAGCCAAGTAACCTGCAGGACAGAAGGAAGTTCCTTCTTCAGAAAACAACGCAATTCCAATTACAACCCTGGAATGCCACTTTTGTTTTTCACTCAAGGTTTTCCAAAACAGCTTTAACTGGTTGACCTGATCCCGAAGAAAACATAACAAAGGCCAGCATTGTCCTGAGTTGTCCTCTCACAAAGTAATTTAATAACATTTGTAAAAAGGAAAAATAAAGAACATGGTAAAGAATATAATTTACTAGGATGCGATCATTTGTTGTAAGCTGCCACCTTCAGACAGCCAAGGTTAAAAAAGAGAAAGGATGACATAATAAAAAATGAAAAGTTGCAGGCTTTCATTTTGTGCCAAAGCAGTAATTTGACTTGGTTTCTAAAAATAATAAATAAAATTAAAAAGTAGATCAGATTCCTTTACCTTCAGGCAAGTTAAGAGCCCATCAGCCCAGCCAGCCCAAGGGTGCTGATGCAGGGAAAAAGCCAGGTAGTTACACCATGGGTGATAGCATGGACATGAGAAAGGGTTCGAGGGGTTCGAGGAACTCCTGCTGTTGGTAGAGTAAAAAAAAAGCAGAGAGCAAAGAAAAGACTCAGGGTACAGAACACATTTTCAAAATCACAGTTAATATATTGAGCACTAGTGAGCCCCACAGAGGTCCGCAGCTCTGCGCAAGCCTCCGGAGCAGGTAATGACACAAGCCCAGCATCCATTCCCCTGCAAGCGCCGAACCCGGCACAAGGCACCCTCCAAACCCAGCTGCTCCGTTTCCTCCTTCTGTAACGTTCCAGCTGCTGGGAACGTGATGATGCCAGTGATTCTTGAGAAACTGGGCAGTTTTTATGAACCAGGGGAAACCAAAAAGTTTCTGGAGTTATTGTTCCCTGGGGGAAAAAAAAAGCCACAACTGAAAAAAAAAAACCAAACCCAAAACTGAAAAAACAAAACCAGGTGGTTCATGGAGGAAAAAAAAATTAAAAGGACAGCAAGACCTCAACCCAGGACTCTGGTATTCTCATAGTAGCGCTTCAAACAAGAGAGGAGAGAACGAGAGGGGTAACGCAGGTACGGGACACTCACAGTGAAGTTTTCGTTCTGCTGTTTCTTTTCCAGCACCAGAATTAAACAAATCAGAATATGAACTATAGCTCCTATGCCACACTTCATTCTGAAGTTGAGGGAGATTCACTTGCCATCAGATATTACGAATTTTGCCTGCACTTCTCCTGCAGTTTTTACTTGCACATGTGCAGAAGCATCACAGAATTCAGTACAAAGTGGCTAAAGTTGCAAACCACACGCAAGCCAATAAAATGGCAGGTCGACCTCCAAGACTGCCAAATCTGATACAGACTGCTAAACAAAGCAATCTTTTCCAAAGCAAATCTTAAAATTCATCTTGCAAATTACTCCTTGTAAATTACTAACTCCCAAACTGAGATTTACCCCCCAAAAAATCAGAAAAACTGGGGCACTCTCATCCAACATGCTTTATGAGAGCAACACTTGAGCGTGCATTATCAACAGATCATCTATTGAAATCACAACATCAGCGTGGATTTTAGCACACATATACATCTTCCCTAATTCTTCATGTCTCCTTTCACCCTAGGTCTGCGTTTTTTACCAAAATGTTTTCCAGCCGTGTGAAACAGAAGGATGTTGGCCCAGTTGTTCATCTGTCCCCTGTGTGTGGCAGATACCAGCACGCAGCTCTGCAAATGCAACTCAGGGCATAGCAATATCCCCAGCGACTGAGACAGGGGGATCGACATGGTTTTGGAAAGAGCATCATCCTTCCCCCCGGGTTTTGGGAAGTCGGCTCCACCACTCTCTCCACAACCCCGCGTCATCTGCGTTAATGACAGCATCCTCCCCACGGTAGCACGTCCATCCTGCACCCTGCAACGGCCACAGCAAAGGGGGCTTCTCGTGACATGCTGCCCCCACTTTGCCTCTGGGAAAACCTTAATTTATTCTTGTAATTGTCTAAGCCAAGCAATATCAAAGAATATAGTGCCCACACAGGTGGTTAAAAAATTTATGGAGCGGTGCCATGGCAGGCTGGAAACACCGTTCTCCCATGCTGGTCTGTAACATTTGATGGGCATTGCCTTGGGTAATCATGCCTGGGAAGCCTTGCTTCCTACCGCCCCAGTCTGGCAGCCACCTTCAGTAACCCTCAGCTTACAAACCACCGTGCTCTGCCACCAGTGTTGCTGCTGTTTCACCACGCACATGCCCAATGGGACGATGCCACCATGGCAGCCTTCACTGCATGGTCCAGACCTTTCACACTTCTCCAACCCATCATTCAGCAGCTGATGCATTTCCAAGAGACATGTAGTACATAGTTAGATTCCCAATATCACAAAAACATCAGGAAGGGTTCAACCAAAGGCACTTGAGCTGCTGACCCCTCCTGCAGACTCAAGAGAGTTGAGCAGTGTCCTGGGCTGACAAGAGACATAGAGCAGCAGACCAAAACACCAGCAAAGGCACCCCGTAACACAATCTATTTCAAAGAAGAACCTGCCCATGCACTGGGGAGCTCTTTTTGGTAATCTTGCATCCGTGCTACTTTTCCACACTGATAGCTGTAGAGGACAAGGAGCACTTTGCTGCCCTTGAGTTTGGAGACTGACACTATGCTACCAGCACATTCAGTTGCCAAGCCTATGTCTAGGACTGGCTTGCCGTAATCATATGGATCTAATCTAGATCTGATGTAAATCCCAGGTAAAATGCAAATCCACCCTTACATTATGCTCAGACGATAGAGATGGAAATAACACAAGGCCCATAACACCACCACCTCCATGCTTCAGCAGCGTGGAACGAGAATCCTTTTGCAGGAATAATATCACAGAATCCTAGAATCTCAGCATCAACAAGTTCTTCCTCCCGTTCAACTGGAACCTCTTCTGCTTCAGGTTGTGCCCATGGCCCCTTGTCCTGGCGCTGGGCACCACTGAGAAGAGTCTGGCTCTGTCCTCGTGACCCCCACCCTTGAGATATTTGTAGGTGTTGATGAGATTCCCTCTCAGCCTTCTCTTCTCCAGGCTGAACAAACCCAACTCCCCCAGCCTTTCCTCGTAGGGGAGATGCTCCAGTCCCCTCATCATCCTTGTTGCTCTCTTGTGGACTCTCTCCAGGAGTTCCTCATCTTTCTTGAGCTGGGGAGCCCAGAACTGGACCCAGTGCTCCAGGTGGGGTCTCACCAGGGCAGAGTAGAGGGGGAGGATAATGATGTATATGATGTATTAACAACAACCGTACTGGAGGCAACGTCAGCATTTCCAATTGCCATGTACCCTTTCCCCAGGCTGCCAGAGGAATAGCCCTGAAAGAACCACCATGACATTGCAAACCTCAGGCATCCAGGCTATGGAAAACAATCCTGTCCTGTCCACCCCTAGCAAGGAGACAGCTTTGCTCGGGACAAATAACCTCCTGCAGAGTCCAGTCCAGCTGTCTGAGATGTCTTCTCCCATGCAAATAAAAGCCAATTGTTCCTCATCATTCCCGGCAATAAATCTCCTGCCTCCTTTAGCAGAGAAAGGAAAAAACAACAGGCCTCAGAAATGCAGCGCTGCAGACAATAACAAGCTAGCTTTTCAAGGGCAAAAATGGCAATGTTTCCAGAACTGAAGAACTTTGTTTTGTAGAAAAGCAAATAACACGGCATAAAAGGACATGAACAGCATCTCCTGCCTAGGCCCTTTCCTCTGCCCTTCTCCAGCTACCCCTGCTTGCCTTCCCCCCTCTGCTACCAACCTCCACTCCCCTGAAACACCCCTTGGAGTCCTACAGCCTTAATTTAAATTCAGGAGCTTTTACTCATTGTAGTGCCCAAATGACTCCAGCAAACTGCACGTGCCGGTCACACACGGCTTCAGCGGTTAAATCCGGGATCCCCCAGCCCACCTGCACCGGTGCCTGAAAGCGCAGCCGGTGAGAAGGCATGAGGAACAGGGAGCAGAAGGACAGCTAACCCCGATCACTCGGGTTTAAGATGACAAAGTTCTGATCGTGCATTTTTGCAACCCTTCAGGGTTCCTGCAGATTCCAAAAGAAGTTTCCCTTACAGGACTGCAAAAATCAAAAGGTAGAATTGTGGAGCCGAAACTGATTATTAATTTCTAAAAGCTGCTAAGCTTAATTTTTTTTTTTTTTTTAAGGCTACTAAGTAGTCATTAAACATGTTTTAATTTAGATTATCAGCACCATTTCTTACATAATCATTGATCTGCTCAGACTCATAACCAAGCTATCTCACTTAGTAACAAAAGTGCTGGCAACCTGGCACAGCACCAAACCCCTTTTTGTTTACCTTCACATCAAGGAGATGATGTTGAGATGTGTTCATTTCTTATAGCAGAAGTAAGACGACTCCATATACGGTGACTTACAAGATAGCAGACCTTATAACAGGTCATTATTCAAAGCTGGAAAACTGACTACCTTCTTGTTTTTACAGAAGAAAATATGTGTTGTTGTACCGCTGATAAATGTTTGAGTGATTATGATGCAGTGTCACAAAAAAGGGGGCTCTCATTTACCTTTGGGATTATCTTCAATGAAGTTTTATCCCAACAGCACAGTTCAAAATACCCAGAGAGGGGGTGGGCAGTGGCTTGTTAATGAGGAACTTCCCGTAGCACCTTTGAGACTTTGCAGCATTCACCTGGTTACATTTTACAGGTTTTTACTATTTGCAATAATTAAAACATGCATAAAATCCCACAATAATGAGCACAATTTAAAGTTAGGATATATTTTCATTTGATTGAAACAGCCGGCGCCATTAAGTGCGATTAAAAAGACTGAGACCAGTCTCTTACCCAGACAGGACAGTCGTGTACCACCAGCCTGACATTTCCAAACACGCAGGCTTGATACTCGGTAAAAACTGGGTTTCCAACGTGACTGGCAGACAGGCTGCTGTCGATCTGGGAAATGAGAGCGCTTCTCCCAAGATAGCTCCAGATCAGGCTCGGCTGCTGATTGTCCTCAGAAAAGCCATCTCTTTCATTCCCAAAGGCTACAATGTTGACCGACCTAAAATAAAAACAGCAATGGCAATGCTGTGTTAACAAAGATGATGGGCAGGGATAAGAGAAAAAAAAAAAAGCCCTTAAATCAAAACTAATATATCAATCCTTCTAAATCCCCTTCCCTCCCTAGATTTTAACACCCACCCCACCCCGTAATCTACAGCAAAACACATACATGATCTCAAATCCAACAGCAGGATGAGAGCAAAGCAGAAAAGAAACCTGGAAACGCTGCTTGCATTACAAATCCCCAGCTGGCTCAGCGTTTTATTTGTTGGTGTCCACGCTCAGCCTCGCTGCCGCGACCTCCGGGGCTCCTGCCGCATTCCCTCGCCCGTGGCCGGACTGGAAAACTTGGTGGGGGCTGTTCCGAGCGATGGACTGCAGCCAACACGACAGAGCGGCAGCG